CCTCCCACGGCAGAGAGAAAGGAAAAAGCACATCTGTCTCCTTGCAACGGGACTTAGAGCGCTAGCCTTGCTGTTGGATTTTAAAACCGCGGATATAGGAGCAGATTCAGATTTTACTTCTGGGTTTTGTTCTCCTCTCCTTTCCTCCTCCTTTTCCTTTTATTTTGAGGGCTAATCGGACCAGATCCTGCGCTGCTATTTTGAGAAGGCCTGAGCGAGAACACTGCGGGAGTTGCTCTCTCGTGGTCCCGTAAAGCCAGCTCAAATTCATGGTTCAATTTCCTGTAGAGGTGCCTGGATGGTACGTCAATAACAAGATCTGTCGTCAAAGAGTGTGCCCCTGAAAGCTTTAGATAACACACGTCCTGAAGGCTTTTGAATATATCGTGACTGAGATAAGTAGGTAGGTAGGTAGGTGTTTTCAGCTCTTTGGGTCCCACGTCCAGTTACTTTCAGCCCCGCTTTACACGTACCAGTTTACAAGTCTGAAACGGACTCTTAGTGTGAGTGTTCAGTAGAGAAATTTCCAAATCCATGCGTAGTTTGAAACACAGATATGTCAGACACGTTTTCAAAGGCTTATTACTGCTTATTTAATGAGATCACACGTGTGAAATAATTCCTTAAAGACATCTTTTTAAACTTCTCTATTTCTGCATCTGCACCATTTGTTCCCATCTCCTTTGCTTTGTTTTAAACGTGCGCCTTTCAGCTCCCACCATGTCTCAGGATGCCCGTGTAGGTTTGCTCTCCCTGACTGTTGTTCCTGCACAGAACATTACAATGTTTATAAAATATTAAATTTGTGTAGTCTGCCCGAGAAGCAATTGTTCCAAAATAAAATCAGCAGTCTAGACGAAACATAGACACCAGAACTTATCAACAGTTGTCTGACTTACATCTTCTGATGCATCTTGAGTGGGTCATAATACCAACTTTATTTTCAGTGGTGCATAAATTAATTACACGCATTTAATAACCAAAATATCATTATATTCCCCCTTTAATATCATAAAGGCTTTACGCCAGGGAAGCACTTAATGTGCAGGGGGCCATAACAGGCTATTATCCTTGTGTAATGCTATTACAGAACCAATTATGCGCCATTATACTTGCTTTTTTTGCAGTTTATGTGATTTGATCCAATCCCGCGTCCCTGACTTGAAAATTTCATCTGGGTACTTTAAAGTCTAATTTTCACCCGGGCTGAGGGAAGGGCCATCTCTCTCCGCTGAGCCTATGTCTCGGATGCATTTTAAAAGTAATTGCAAAGGGTCCCGCCGCATATCATTTGCAGACGGGAAGCGAGCATAAATCCAGGGACCCCTTGCTGTGAACAAAATCAAACTTTGCTTTGGTACGATCGCTTGGAAAGACAAGACGCGTGCAAAGCGGCCCCCCAAAAACCCATCCAGCGGGCAATTAACAGGCGCTTTGTCAGACTCTACATCCAGGAGAAGATGCTGTGGGATCGTGCCAGGCAAAAGCACTAACCCTCCCCCCCGCTAGCACCACTCCCATCAATAAGGTGGCAACCCAAAGGGGACGCGCGCGGGGTCTGGGGAGCGCTGTGGAACAGAAATGCTTATAAAATAATGGGATTTTTTTGTTCACATTCCTGATGTTTGCTGAGAAATGACGTTTTTTTCTCTCTCCTCCACACACCACGTGGGCCATTTGTAGGGCCCAATAGACCTATCCAAGTTACTCACTGTAGACAGCGCTGGAAATAATCAGATTAAGGCCAATTATGCGTGAGATTATAAAGGCAAGTGCTGAGAGGCAGAGCATGCTGTAGACAGATATAAAGACATCTGGCCACTTCCAGAACTCCACAGAGCCCTTCTGTCTCTGCAGCCAAGAGCTCGCAGCATCTTATTCCAGTCCAAACCCCCACAAATCGTACTGGGGATTTTTACTTCTCTTCGTTTTAGGTATGGACTTATTACTATTATTATCATCACCATCACCATCATCATTATCATTATTCTAATTATTATCTTTCTTGTCGTCGTCGTTGTTACCGTAGTTATTGTTATTATTGGTGTGCTGGATGTTTGATGTTGTTGTACATACATTTTAAGTTGTTTACTTAAAAGGAAACTATCCACATTGAACCCACCCTTCAGGGTATTGAGCCATTTGAAAATGAACACAAGAATTTTTTTGAGATCCATGAAATATTTTGCTGACATTTACTTTAGTCTGACTAGTTTAGACAAGGAAATCTTTTGTAACAAATTAGTCTATTCGTAGCCCTAGGTATTTCTTGTTTATGGAACCGGTTGATGTGGGAGTGAATCTATGCCAGCGATAGATAGATAGATAGATAGATAGATAGATAGATAGATAGATAGATAGATAGATAGATAGATAGATAGATAGGCTGTCGGTCTGTCCGACCATATGAAAACATTTTTAATAAAACTTTAGTTGATCCTGAATACCAACAATGGACCTTTGTACCTTCGGCTCTCCAGACCAGCGTGCACAGTATTGCAGACTTTTTTTTGGATCTACTGTATTTTGAATTAGGATCTGGCATGATCCAGGTTTTCATAGCTGCTCCATTGAATTGCCTGCCCATTATTAATGATTTGCCTGTCTTCAGGGTGTCGGATGAGACGTCGCTGCTGGGCTTTGTAGTGGTTCAGTGGAAGTGGCTGGGGGGGAGTTGGATGTTTCGGGCAGGATCCCTCCCTGTGTCTCTCCGGGAAGGCTGACTCTGGCTCGCGGTTTGCTCCGCAGCTCTGGACGGCGGCGGTGACTCCGGGCCATGTTCTATTTCCACTGCCCCCCGCAGCTAGAGGGTGAGTGTTGTCGCACAAATACGTGTAAGTACAAGCGCTTAACTTTGGGTTGGGGAGCCGGGGTTGGTGCCCGGCCCGTTCAATGCGCTGCCACTCTGAGCCCCGCCAGTCCTGCCCTTTCTGTCTTGGTTGTTTATTTTTTTACATCGGAAACCAGCAGAAACAGTTTATCCTTTCTTTGTGTTTTTCTTTCCAAAGAGGAAACGTGACATTATTTCTTGGTGTTTCCTCCTGTCACAGGATGGTGGGAGGGAAGGGAGGGCTGGGATTAGCCTCTCTCTCCCTCTCTCTGTCTCTCTCTCTCTTTAATTTGATTTGCGTTGGAAGTGCCTTGGTTGTGTTTTTTCCCAGTGACATTTTGCCACCTGCCTCCCCTCTGTGGATAGAGAGCCCACAGATCAGCCCCAGGCTAGGCAGGAAATGCTTTCTTTCCCTCCCAGCACAGATGTTGGTGTCATGGCTATAATCGGGACACTTTCAGGCCGCGGCCACGCCTCCTCCCTCCAGCCGGGGGCTGCATAAATCTTTAATGCTGTTTTACAAACACTCTGCGGCACGGTTAGAAAGGAGAGGGCGTGGGGGGGGGCACTTATTTTTTTATTATAGCCATTGCCTTTCCACTGTAAATCCACCTGGATTTGCTCATTCGGCGCTGCCGGGGCTAAGAGGTCGGGTCAGGGCTTGCGGAGGGGCATCAGACTCATCTGAAGTGAATTTCAAGACGCGAAAACCCGAGCGGGGTTTACTCCCTTTGTGCTGCGTGTGTACGTGTTCACTGCGGGGAAATAACAAGTGCAGAAGTCCCCGAACAGCTGCCACATTTCCACCCAGCGCAGGGGACTCATTTCCTTTCAACTAGTTACAGACCCGGCCTCCACTAGCTGCCCGATGGTAGCGGCCAGGCCAGGCCTGCTCCCCGCGCCTGGCCTGGGACCGCCCGGGCCTCTGGGTGAGGCCGGCTTTGTGCCCGAAGCGTGACAGGCACGTCAACGGCAGGGCGGCTTCCCGACCTCCCGTTCCTGTTCGTGCGCTTTCTTCTCCACGAGCAAACACGCCGCGCTCACCCAGCGCCTTTCAAAAACGCAGTGATCACAAAGAGAGATGTGCCCCAAGCCCCCGGCAAGCGCCTTGCTTGAAAGCGCCGCTTACCTGCCGCAAGTTGCTGTCACTGCGGATCCAGAAGCCAAAGGTTTGACACCGGGGCTGGCGCGGGGCCCTGCGCTGGAAGCTGCTCCAGCCTTTCCCTTGCCGCCCGCAGCCCCACGCGCTTCCCGGCCGAGCGGGCAGGAGCGCCAGGCGGGCAGCAGTAGTGCTCCCAAGTCGGCCCGGCTCCTGCAGGGCCCAGCACCCGGGCAGGCGGGTCTCAAAAAATGAGACTGATCATCGGTTACTGAGGGGCTCCGGAGGGCAGGGCGAGGAGCAGCGGCTGCGGTCTGGAAGGAGGAAACCCATAAGCATCTCGGGCCCGCAAAGTGACAAAAAAAGGAAAAAGAAAAACTTCCCCCAGTAGCTGTTTTCTGACACTCGGGCAGCCCCTCTCTTCTGCAGGGATCTGACAGGACGCCCGAGTTTATGAATCCAATCCGCTGGGGGTTTATTTTATGTTCCCAGTAGAGCCTCTCTCAGGGCATCCCCCGAGGGTCACTACCCACTTTCTGCAAATATATAAAGACCACTTATTCGTGTTTTCAAAATAAAGCCACATGCCTCCCCCCGCTGCCAAAAGAATGAGTAAATCCGCATGCCCATGACAATTGCCCAGGGCCATTACAGCTCCTTAGCAATTAATACTTGTGCCACATCATATAGAGCAGGAAACCCCGTGTGCTTTATCGTGCCCCGCGCACGGGCGCCCAGCTCGAGCGTTTTAAACGCAGTGTAGGAGCCCTGGGCCGGGGTCTCCCGCGTGGACCGCAGGGGAGCGTTCATCACGACGCACCCTCACTAGGACACGGGGTACCTGAACAACTAACTCCTGTTTATTTCCCCGTTTTGCCACTGGCAGGACAGGATGCTAGTTCCGGGGCCGAAAAAGCATGTTCAAAGTTAAGGCACCTGATGTAGCTTTAATCTAGACTTGGTCAAAGGCAGCGTCCTCCGCTGCCCCGTCTCCTCCGCGCGCCCCGGCTCAGGTCCAAAGCGAGGGCGGGCGCTGCGGCGTCGCCGCTCCCAGTGCTCGCAGGGCAGGCCGGGGGGGATGCTGCCCTGACACCGGCGTCCTGCGGCCCCGGGGGGGGAAGGGGCCACTTTCTCTTCAAGCGCTTTCAGAGTGTCTGTAGTTTTTAAACTGCTGGGATTTTTTTTTCGCTAATTTTTACTTGGAGTGGGGTCAGGGAGGGACTCCCAGACGCGGATCGTGCCTGCCCAGCGTGTACGAACACGCGGCCCTCTTTCCAGGACCAGCAGTGCGGCACCTCACTTGCAGGGCGAAAGGGGAGCAAGGCAAATATCAGAGTATTCGCTCAGCTCTGACTTGGAGGTGTAGCTACAGGCGTGCTGGAGTCGCGGAAAAAACGTTTTTACTGTTTGAAAAAAAGAGGATGCAAGATGTGCGGCTTTTCAATTGCTGTTACACTACTGTAAAACACAAAAAACAAAACCAACAGCCCAAAACCCGCAGGTGCATTTTTACAAGGCAAATCTGCAGTCGGTTCATCTTGTATCTTACTTTTCACATATCGGTGGGCGGAAAACGTGCCGAGCCCACGAGCGTGCATGCAAGCGAGCGTTTCATCTTTTCCAAAGACAGTCCCCGCCTCACAGAAACCCCCTGTGCTCCGCCCGGCGAAAAGTTCAGCTCCTACTAAAAACTTTGGCTTCTGATTATATTCGAGATGTGGAAAATGCCACGCGTGGGAGGCGGAGCGGGCAGACCACGCGCTTGGTAGCGTTTGCACATTGCTCATAAGGAAACTGGGGCTTGGGGAGAGCCGGTAAAGGCAGCGCAGTGGCAAACGTCCTACCTACGTGAGTGCCCTAAATCTATCCCCGCGCCAAACTGCTGGCGGGTGGGTCGGCCTCTGCCCTTTCCAGGAAAGAGGAAGGAGTCCGTGCCTCTGCGCTGCCCGCGGCCAGGCCCCAGCAGCCCGCTCCGCCCTCACACCTTCGCTTAGCGCCCGGCTGGCAGCAGCAGCCTGCGGCGCGGGCGCTGTCCGAGCTCGCCGGGCCGGGCGGAGCCGGGTCAATCCGGATGGCCTCCGCTGGCGCGACTCCGGATTGACGCGGCTGCAGGCGCGCGCGGTGCCGCCCGCGGGCA